TCAGTAACTATGCTATATCTGTGTTTAAAAAAACTCCTCAGAACTTTTTAGATCTAGCCCTCTTGTATGAGACATCATAGTTATAGTGTAACTACATAGGCTACAGGTTACTCATCTCTACTGTAGACTAAAGCAGAATTTCTTCTCTTTAACTTGAGACCTCCAGATATGTTGGCTTATTATTTTCTATTTTCCTGGTTTACATGATGAAGCAATTAGTTTTTAAAACTTTAATTCATATCTTGGTGGCTCATTTGAGAAACATAGATGCTAATGAAAACTAGGTAGCCTGCTGTGCAAACCCATTGCTTTGACTGGTATACTTGTGGAAAGGGAATTTCACGAAGGCAGTAGTGTCACAAAAAACAGGAAAAGCCCAAGGGGAACATCAGGTCAGCCAGAAAACAAACTTACATAGGAAAAGGAATCAAATAAAAAGTATTAAAGAATCCCTATAGACAAAAGCCTAAGGAATTAAGAAAACTAGACAAATAGGAAAAGGAAACAAAAGATAATTTAGAAAACCCTTACAAACACAGGACATACCAAATATGCAAAACAAACAGACAAAAGACACAAAATATAAATTACAAAAGGGACAGACAGGAGATTGCCACAGAACAAATATGAAAAACTATCTTAAAGCTAAAAGAGATTACAGAAAACCAATAATACAATCTGGCCACCCCGCGGAGTTTGCCCTCGGGCGGAAATAAAGACAAACTCAAAAAGGATTTGAAACATTAGGCACAAATACAAACACTCACACAAAATCAACTTACAAAGGGAGAAAAGGGTATAAAAAACCAGGGACTTACCATGGGAAGCTAGCTAGCCCAGGAACGCAGACTTCTCACTGTTCTCCGCCTTCCTGAAAAATAAAAAGATCCAGCTTTCAAGCAGTTGTCCGTATCCTTGCACCGGAGCTCTCCCAGTGGGAAAATCGAATCCTCGAAAGAAAGGCATTTTGACATCTTTCAACATACTCTATACCATTGTGCTGTGTGATAGTTTGGCTGAAACAACTTTCCTTCAAATCATCTTGCTGTTATAGAAACACTACAGTATTTAGGGGGAGAAAGGGGTGATATTTCTCTCTGTTCTCTTGCTGCATGTTTCAAATAAAGTACCTACAATTGCTCTTAGGAAGCATTTACTGTATCTGTGATTAGTTCTCTGGGTGGCTCTCCCATCATAAACAAGTAAACGGACTTCTGTATAAAGTAGGGATACCAACTAAGTAAATCCCTTTTCCTTCCAAAGTAACATTTTGTTAGTAGAGCTTTTGCATCTATAGGATAGCAGAATGCATAGCAAAATACTCTTCCAATGAATGGTTTCTTATAACGGTTAAACCTGAGTATATCAAAAGAGAAGCTGGGCTTCTAAATCTTGCAAAAATCTTCTCAAGATTTCCTGATTTTTTTTTTAAAGAATGTGTGATGAGGCTTTTTGAAGATTACATTGTATGGTAGTGTTCATCTTCAGTGAATGCTGTTGGTCTCAACTGCTAGTGGCTTCCTTGTTTTCCCCACAAGGCCTGTTCCAGCAATTGGAACATGCTTCTCTCCCCTAAGGGAGAAACCTACTGGTGTTTTTATTCCCTTTTGACTGAGAGGGAACTCAGGGAATTTAATTCAAATGTGTTGCTGCCGTGAATATTCTCTCTTCTTATTTGGTTAAGAATGATTTTGATTATGGAGTGGAAGCTGAGGCCTCTCCTTCAAAACTAGCATTTGGTGGAATACTTTCTGACACCTTCAGTAACTACACATTAATTTCCAAAGAATGATCAATAGAGAGACCTAGATTCCTCCTGAGAATGCATTCATTTTTCCTTAAGAATAAAAATCTGCATTTTCCTGATTTCCTTTCCTTCTTTTGCTGCAGTTTAGCTCTGAGGAAAAGCATTCTTTCATCCAGTCCCCTATCAACTGCTTTAAAATAAGGTTAGTTTGTGAGATCAAAGCATAGATTTCCCATAGTATGTTTGTTTGGTTTCAGATCTCAGAAACATGAGGAAGACAAGGACTAAACTGGAGACCATCCTTAATCAATTGTCTAAAGGACTAAATACATTCACCTTTCGCTTTCTCACTTTCTTCCTTTTGTAGGCTATGTCCCTGTTACAAGATTTAGTGGATGAGACGAGCAACATGAAATCAGCCACAAGCAACTTGGAGGATGAAGTAAAAAAAATCAAGGAACACTTAGCTGTGGTAAGCAGCTTTTATTTTGCTCTGTTGGCCTTGCAAGCCTTTGAGAGTTGGCTGCATATGTTCATGACTTGGTTGTTTAGTTCTTTCTTAAAACCTCAGGGATCTAGATTTTCTGACTAGGTACTATCTGCACTCACTTCCAAATGAAGGCATACATAGAGATCAAGGGTAGATTGAATTGTCTTTTACTTTTCAACAAAAGATAGAGGTTTAAAATCAGGGTAGCAGCAATAGTTCAAATGCTTTTATTTTGCTTTGTAGGCCTGAAATCACAGGGGCTAATCCATACAAAGAAGTACAGGTTATCCTTAACTTATAACCATTCATTTCAAAGTTACAACAGCACTAAAAAAGTGACTTTTGACCACTTTTCACACTTACAACCATTGCAATATCCCTGTGATCAAAATTACAGTCATTCACTTAATAACTGTGGCAAGAAAAGTTGTAAATGGGGCAAAATTCCTTTAACTAATGTTTTACATACAACATAAATTTTGCACTCAGTTGTGATCGTAAGTTGAGGACCATCTGTACAGAAATTACTAGGGTGGGGTATACATGCACATTTTGGCAAAAGCAGTGTGGGATATAAACTGTTTCCTACAACAGCCCTGAATTGATCAAGTTCCTAAACAGTTTATTTTGTGTGGGTGTGTACTACTAGAGTTAATCAGAGCTTCCCTACCTTGTCTGAAAATGGAAAAGAGCTTATTTTATTAGTACTGCATTGGGGTGGGGGGATGGTCAGAGACCCCAAACTCTTCAGTTCCTCAGCCTCTTCATGAAATTTCATATTGTTCATTGAGTTTCAAATATTTATTTTATGAAAATAATGTAATAAATAGTACTTTAACGAATAGTACTACAAACAACAATAATAATAGTAATAGCGGCCTTGGGCAATACCACCTTTAACAACATCAGAGAATATTTGCCTATTCTAGGATTCTGGGAAGGAATCCAGGGGTGGATAAAAATGCCAAATCCAGTCTAAGCATTTGGTTAACTATAGGACCAACCATAATAATAATCATGACTACATGTGGCAGTCACTGGCTGTAAGAAAAGCCAAGAACCCTTGCTAAAAGAAGTCAGCCAAGGAAAGCTCTTGAAAGGCAACAAAGGTGAAAGCTGAATATTTAAAAAAATGAAAACGAATTTGTTAATTGGAAGCATAAGCCAATACATAGCCAATACTTGAAGGATACTGAAGAAAAGCAGATTTTAAAAACCCACATGGTTAAGCATTTTTAAAAAAGAAACTGAAGGCTTTATTTTAGCTGCTTAAGGTTTGTCAGCTAATTGCATGAAGGTGAAAATATTGCCTTTCTGGTGATCAATGGCTGCAGCAAAATTTTACCAAGTGACAACAAGCAGAGTTGTAAATTATTTATTGGAAGCTTTTGGCAGAAGTTACAGTAAAAATGTCTGGGATTATTATATTGAGAAGGTTTTGGAAAATGATCAGGTTAAAATTTTGGGGAGTTTAAGATCCAAACAGGCATGCATCTTGTTCATAACATGGTTGATATAAAACAGTTATTGAAAAGAAGAAAGTCTGGTTCATTGATGTCACTGTAACAGTGATGGTACCGGTAGGATTGAGGAAAAAACAATTGGGAAAAATTTACAAAAACTGGGACTGACAGATCAAAGTTGAATGCTTATGGAAAAATAAATTCATTGTTATACCAATTGTGATGAGAGTCATCGGAGTAATGCCTAAAAGACTCCCTCATTATCTGTCAATATTGAATTTATCAAACCTGAACACTATAATTTTACAAAAAAAGAACACCAGGCTTGGAACTGTTTATATTCTTAGACACTATTTATATCGATAGTTGTTTATATTTTTGAGTAATATTAAATGAACTGCACTCTAGAGCTGTTCCTTGAGACTAATTTATCTCCTGGTGCTTGTTTTTGTTTCTCTGCACTCTGGGATTGAAGATGTTTACTCCCCGCTCCCTGCCCAACTTATAAGAGAAAAAAAAATGGCCCCCAGAGCAATACACTTACTTTGACTTAGGCATTCTTTTTGTTTTTTTGCTTGAATTTTCCCTGTGTGAGCGAACCAGCTCATATTTAACTTCCCTTTATGACATGTTTAGTACCTATTCATAATCACAACTTATATTTGAATAGAAAGGGTAATCTAAACTTTTATTTCATTTTGCAGCTAGATCCTCGTGGGTTTGATGATCGTTTAAATGTTTGCCTGAGTGATCAGAGTAGCTTGGATCATGATTTGGTATGTTCTTGCCTTCTACAGAAAAGTAATTTTTGTGCCTGGTGGTTGTGCAAAATCCGAAATATCTGAAACAGTTTGTTCAGTTGCTCTGTGTTAACTATATCTTTCATCCTGGTCTGAAGTTCTTTTAGTGTGCAAGCTTGGCATTGTTATTCTCTTCCATTATTAGATTCATCTTATAGAAAGCCGCCAGAGTTTATGTAGATGAACTCTGACAGCATCCTCCAGTGCTTCTGGTGCAAATTAGTGGCATGAGAAACTCCACATCTCATTTGTGATCTCCAGCTCTCTGAATTGCTACATAGTCATTTTTCCTGGCAAAGTCTCAGTACATTGGCAGGTCCTAACAAAGCAAGACTGTCATTCATTCAAATAATCTCCATGTTTTCTCTTATGATGTCATTGTGCCATGATATTATTTTGTAATTGGTGTCATTTTCATTATTACAATTGACAAATTATATAAGTTGCATATTTGAGTCATTACATCATGATCATGACATATGTGCTTTCAGGGATGTCTGTGATGATAATCTCTGCTGATGGTCTTAAATTAGACTTAACACAAAAAGAACAAGGAACTGAGAAGAAAAGGACAGTAAGTCCTGGAGCACCCAATTGCTGGATGATTTGCTTCTTAATTTGATGCTGTTATCTAAAGTAATTCCCCGGGCTTCCAAATTCCTAATGAAGAAGGAATAATGGTGGACAATGTATAGGACAGAAGGATGATTTTCATATGATTTGGTTTTGATTCTTTTCTAGAAAGATTTAGAGAGGAGGTTAAACCAATTCCCATCTCCAGAAGAAATGGTACGGTGGGAGGTACTTGAAGATATCCTTGTGAAGGGAAAGAGCCCATCTCCTGTGAGTATGGTTTAGTTAGAATGGCATGTTTCCATAATGGATTCATGCTGAAAATAAGCTGTGAAAAACATAGGTTATCAACTTGTACCACATTTGGAGAAAGAAAAATCCCAGAATAAGTTTGATATTTAGTACTGTTGCCTATTTTCTTGTACATTACAAATTTAATTGCTCTTTATGATATAAAAGAGTTATTAGACATGTACCACGCAATCTCTCTCTCGTCCTTAACTCTTGAAGAAAGAAGGAACCTTCCATACTATTCATCCAACAATTTATAAATGCAGTATAATGGCCAAAATTTATAGAGAGATATAAAGAACAACATTTGTCCTCTCCCAGTCAATTGGCACTTCACTATTTCTCCAGGATCTCTCATATCAATACATAATGGTTTGCTCTGTCTATCAGCAAATTGCTTTAATACTCTAAAATTAATCTGGATGTTGACATTTAAATTAATTAGAAATAGATATTCCCTAATATATTTCTATCAGTCTCAATATTCAGCCCTTCCCCTTCAACCTGCTTTTTGCATTTGCCTGAAGGAGCAAATATGCTTTTGCTGGTCAAGGCTGAACCAAAAGTAGGAATTGGGTTGTTGTTGTTTTTTTTGCTTTGTTTTGTTTCACATTTTGTTATCTCCCTTTTTAAGGGATGGGGTACTTTTTGCAGTCTTCATCTAATAGTTGCTGCAATAATTCTTTTCTTTTTGTTTTGTCTATACCTAAAAAAGGACTTCTTGTGGTTTTAGCATTCTTTATCAATCTTGGCTCATTCTGACCTTTACCTCCCCTTATATTTCTCCATAAACAGCCTGTGTTTTTTCCCATGACAATCAGTCCCTTTGTACTGCTTACACACGTTGTTTTTTTAAAGCTCTCCCTCTCTACTTGAATTACTTTTTCATTCATAATTACTTTCCTAATATACCTGCTATTTCAATTTCCTCAGTGAAATAATCCTAGTAAGTTAGTATCAAGTTGAGGAAATTTCATCCTCCTGTTTTCTTCTCTTTGAAGGATAAACCAGTAATTTCCTTAAAGGACCATACTAGACGGAATCCATCTCCATACAGATGTTGGGATCTTTATCCCAAATGTTAGGATAATTAAAGTTTCTCATCAATACTACTATCTTTAAGAGAACTATACTTTTCTTTTGGGAATCATAGGTTTCATCTATTTGGTGAGGCAATGGTATATACAACATTATTACAGAATAAGAGAATAGTAGAGTTGAAAGGCACCTTGGAGAACTTCTAGTCTAACCCCTGCTCAGGCAGGAGACCCTGGGCCTGTACCATTTGAGACAAATGATTGTCCAGTCTCTTTTTAAAACCCTTCAGTGTTGAAGCACCCACAACTTCTGAAGGCAAGTAATTCCACTGATTAACTGTTCTGTTGGGAATTTCTTCTTAGTTCTAAGCTGGTTCTCTCCTTAATTATTTTCCTTCGATTGCTTCTCATCCTGCCTTCAGGTACCTTGGAGAATAGGTTGATCTGCTCTTTTTTGTGGCAGCCCCTTGGAATAGTGCTATCATGTCACCCATAGTCCTTCTTTTAATTAAACTAGACATACCCAATTCCTGAAACCATTCTTGTATGTTTACCCTCCAGTCCCTAATCATCTTTGTTGCTCTTCTCTGCTCACTTTCTAGAGTCTTAATATCCTTTTATATCATGGTAACCAAAACTTGATGCAATATTCCAAGTATGGTCTTACCAAGGAATTATAAAGTGGTATTAATACTTCCCATGATCTTGAATCTGTTAATGCAGCCTAGGACTGCATTGGCTGTTTTTGGCAGTTGCAGCACACTGCTAGCTCATATTTAAATGATTATCCACTAGCACAAGATCCCTCTCACAGTTATAGTAACTGGTTTTATATGACCCATATAAAACCTATTCCATAATTGTGCATTTAATTTTTCTTTCCTAAACATGGTTTAGTTTTTCCCCTTATTTTAAACATTTTCTATGGCATCATCAAGTTTATTCACTTGAATTTTAATCATACAGTGCTAAACCATACCATGTTAATTCTCCTTTTCTATTGCTCGTTCTACTTGTGAAAGTATATCCTTCAGTTATATCCCCGATATAACCTACTAAGTTGCTGTTATATCTATGTTTGCTTTCTTGAGGGCAGAGTTCAAAGACAACTTGTTTATGTATCATACAAAGAGTATTAGTGTATAGATAATAAATGCATATAAAAACACTTTGTCCTTCTGTCACCAGTTCAGATGCCCTCCTACTTCTGTTGTAGATGTATACAAGTTTATGGATAATTTTTAAAATTATTTTTATTATGCAGTTTTCTTTGTTATATATAAAATTTCCATATCCACAAAGGCAGAGTACTGACTGGATACAATCTCTTTTAAATGCAAATACCAATAATAAATCTTATACACACAATAAATATAACTATTATTCTCAAAATCTGTTCAGCATAAACTTATTAAACATTTTCCATTATTTAATTAAACACTTTGGTTTTGTCTATAATTAGTTAATAATAAAGCATTATAAAACATCATATAACTATCACATTTGTAACCATTTATCCTCCAGGTCTATTAATCATAATGTTTACTTATCCTCATTATTCAATATTCATTATTTAATTACACATTTACTTCATTTTTATTTACATGTCCTCCTTAATTCTAAACTTCTGCTTCTATTTTCTAACCATTGATAGAAAAATTCCCAAGTTAAAAAATATTCTGTTTCCTCCTTATCCTTAATTTTCAATATTAATCTATCCATTTCAGCACATTCTAGTATTTTCTTTATTACATTTTCCTCGATAGGTATATTTTCATTTTTACAGTTTTGTGCATGCACAATTCTCGCTGCTGTTACCACATGTAAAATTCAATATGTATTTCTTTTATTATATTTTATGGATACTTTTAGTGTAGTTTACTTTATTGTCATTGCACCTTGTATAACGAAATTAAATACCATCTTCAGTGTACATTATGACTATGAAAATAAACACAAACACACATCCTTCACATTCTATACATTGAATTCAAAACCCCTGATATTGCATTAATATTGCACTATACAGTAGAATTCAACAGAGCTACTGCCCTGGGATAGAAGCTGTTTTTCAGCCTATTTGTCCTTGTTTTTATTATCCTGTACAGTCTGCCAGATGGTAATAGTTTAAAAAAAGGGTGCCCAGGATGAGCTGGATCTTTGAGAATGTTTTGAACTTTCTTAAGCAGCGAGAGCTATAAAGCTCTTCCAAAGAGGGGAGAGGGCAACCAATGAACTTCTGGGCAATGACGCTCTGTATTAATGGATACTACTGAGTAATAGAGCATTTAGAGTGGTTTTCATGGGGATGTAATTCTCTTTTCCTTTCAAACAAGTTTTGTTGATGGTTTAGAGGAAAGGTCACCTATTAAAATCAATAAATTCTTTGATTGGTATGACTGTTACTATGCCATTTAGCTTTGGGTAAATTAAAGACATGACACTATATCACTTGAGAGACATCTTGTCACATTGTTATTTCACCTTTCCATTGTAGTTTAGGGTAGCCATTTATTCTCACAACAGCTTTCTAAAAATGAGTGAGGCTGTAGTAAAGTGACTGAGCTAGTAAGCCAGGCTGATCAGGGACTCTGCTTCTTGGTTTGAACACTCAGTTTTATTCATCTGTGACCAAGGATCAAAAGCCATGCCAAATTCTATCAGAAATTGTTCACATTCTCTAATTATGCACCTGCATTGTTTAATCATTTAGAACTATAATAATGTCAGTGAAAGGAAATTGCACTTTTTAAAATATAGCTAATCTTGCCTCCTATATAATGCTTTAATAATCATTTTTCTTGTCTTTCACTTGTTATTAAATCTATCCCCTTTCCATTTTCATTTTAGCACACAAGTCCAGTCCAACACACTCCAACTAGTTCAACCTCACCAGAAGGCAAAATTGTGGCATCTCCACAAGCTCAGCCTGGCACTGCTACCGCTACTCAAAGAACAGAAGGAGGCCAGATCCCACCAACTGGGGCTCAGGCAGGAGCACCAGGGGCTCCAAGTGGAGCAACCATCCCTGGAGTACAGCCAGGCATTGCTGGGATTTCAGGACCATTTGGACCTCAGCTTGCAGCACCTGGGCTATATCCTGGGGCACCTGGAGCTCAGGCTCCCTTTCCTGGAGCACCTGGGACTTATCCTGGGGCACCTGGAGCCCAGGCTCCCTTTCCTGGAGCACCCGGGGCCTATCCTGGGGCCTATCCAGGGCCCCAGGCTCCCTATCTTGGACCATCAGGGGCCCAAGCTCTGTATCCTGGGGTTCCACCGGACCAACCTGTAGGTACTGGGGCTCAGCCTGTAGGCCCTGGAGCTCAAGGCCTTTATCCTGGGGTACCCGGGACCCAGCCTGGAGTTCCTGGAGTGCAACCATCATATCCTGGAGGACCTGGAGCCCAGCCTGGAGGCCCGGGAGCCCAAGCACCCTATCCTGGGGCTCCTGGGGCCCAGCCTGGAGTTCCTGGAACCCAAGGCCCTTATCCTGGAACATCTGGGGCCCAGCCTGGAGCTCCTG